AAAGAATTCAGGAAACAAGTTATGAAGGATCATTAGCTTTAAGAGTCTAAAAGGGCACATGTGAGGTTTCCGAGAACCTCACTGCAGAAGCACTGAAGTTGACTAGCAATATGCAGTGATGACTGTGTGAGAGAAAAGCCCCAAGCATGTGTGTAGAATATGAGAATCTGATCCAGGTGGAAACAATGGGATAGCAATGTGCTTCTGTGTCTGGGGAAGAGACTTAAAAGTAAAAAATTGAGTGAACAAGTGGCAGAGCATTGAGGTGTATCTTCCTGCTATGTATATAGGTGGAGAATGAGGTGTTATTTTTTTTCATTATACAAGAGACTCAGAAGGTTTGCCTCTGGATCTACAAATTTTCTTAGCAGAAACACATTATTTTCTGCACTTCACACAGTAATTTCAATGAGTCATTGGAATTACCAATTGCATATAAAGTTTTGTTTCGTTTGTTTTGGTTGATGTGCATTTATATTGTGTATTTTGGGGGGCATAAGAAATCATATTTGATGGAAGCAAAGCTTAACCTTAAATTAAAACCAAAGTGATTGGATAGCTTAATAATTTAAACAAGTGATGTGTTAAATTGGGAAAATATATAGCACTGTTTCTCTTGTACATTTTTGCTTGGATTAGCCAATTCATTTTAGCGCGTTTAATTACGTTTTGAAGATGTGATGCAGATTTTGTTCAATTCACATTGTTCAATTCACATGTACCCAGCATGGTGATAGCTGAGGAGCAGGCTGTCATTAAATTTTTGCCATACACTAATCACTCCAATATGTTTAGAACTCTTCAGGATAACTGTAGTATTCTGGGTGTGCAATTCTAAGTTTATCACAACAGTGAACATACTGTGAAGATTTTCTTAAATCTGACATATCCTAATATGGGCCTGCTGAAACTTTTGCATTCAGCCTCATCTTCGAATCACAGATAACTTCTAGGCTAATATCATGCTTGAGAAAAGGACATGGCTAGACCTACCTTCTAGGTTTACTTCTCCAAGCATTGGACTGAAGTGGCACCTCCATGAAAAGCATTCTTTGCATATCTGAAGCAGCAAGCAACAAGTGAAAGGGCACAGAGAAAAGCTGTTGGGAGAGAATGTTAAGAAAATCCTGTCAGTTTATGGTCAAAGAAAACATAAGAAAAACAGAAAAACATGCAAGGAAACAGGGGGGTTCTTACCCTGTATAACTATAGATGTGGAAAAACTGCTGAGCCTTCCTGGGACAAAGGATGGGTGAATTCCAATCCTGGGAACATCCGGAGTGGTTCTTGCACGAAGTAATGGGATTTTCTTTTCCATAACAATGCTGGTTATGCCAAACAGAAAGCTATGCTAAGTACCGATGGCGCTTAGACAGCCGGGGATGAACCAGAGGCAGAAAGAATCCCCAAACATCCAGAAACCAGTTTTTTTACAGATTGCTTAGAAATAGTAGTGAGTGAGGAGAGCACACCTGAATTAAGTGCTGGGCAGTAGGAAGATGTGAAACAAGGCTGTGTGAATATATGAGGTTAATTACAGAAATTAATGAGGCTTTTATCAGTCGCACGTAGAGAAATGTGACCACCATCTACTCCTCAGTCAGTTTCTCACAGAAAACAACTCTGATACACCCTCAGAGTCTTCTCTTAGAGTCTTTCTGGGGAGCTTGAGAATGATCCAGGCTGGTGGGAGATGTAGTACAACAGAGTAGCTGAAGTATATTACTGCTACCTTTATTTCATCCCATGCTTCTGGAATAACTTCTCCAGAAAAAATGCTTCCTCCATGATGGTCAGGAGATTTACCTGGATTGTATATTTGTTAGTAGCTACAGTTAAAATGGATTAAAATTAAAATTCTCCTTAGTCTTTTGGAAATAGAAGTATATAATAATTGTTGTTGCAGACCTTATGAACTCTTTTATCACTTTATATATTTTTTTTGCATTTGTTTTACTGTTGAAATGTTATTGTTTTTTGAAATAACAATCTGTTGTACATTACGCAAGTGTCTTACTTTCTGAATGGTCATACTGATTTAAGTAGAGTCACAAGACCACCACAGAGACATAAAAGAAATTTAACCATACTGAAGATACACTGATGAGTTAACTCCAGAGGGGAAAAAGCATGAAGAAGAAAGATGAATGCTAGAGAACAGTGAACAGGTATAATCTCAGAGAGTAGTAAGAAGCAGGGGGTTTGCAGTGGTTGTAAATGAAAAATGGAAAGAGCCAAGATTTTGCAGGAGCTACAACAAACTTTTCTGAGTAGCCAAATGTTTAAAACACAACATCTGATCCAAGTATTCCAGAACTTTTCAGTAAGAGGGTTTGTCTCTTAATTCTATTGTAAAATCTCAAACAGAATTTGAAATTCAGAGGTTAGGCTTACTTTAAATCATCTTCCTAGTAGTTCTGGGCTACTTTGAGGGGTAGAGTAAATGCCATCACTGTTTGGCCAGCATGGCTGTTTAATCCTCACTGACGTGCTCATTACCTGCACCACAGACAGCATCACTGTCCTGAACAAGCACAGTAACATGTGAAAGAGGCTTCACAGCTGCTTCTGGCTCGTTCCTCCCACTGGCTTCCCAAGACTGACAAATCCCACCCTGCATATCTTAGAAGGATACTTCTTGTTAGTTTGACTCCATCCCTCACCTGTTTTTTTATATGCAGAACTGTGAGTCTATTTGTTTGAGTGAGACCGAATCTGATTCCCTTTTAAAGAGCTGAGAAAGAATTTTTTTTTACTGCTTTGTTCAGTGACATAGGCACAATTGAAGTAGTTCATGTCAGTTATAGACATTCAATGTTCAGGAGTCTGTAGTAATGTTCAGTCTACAGTTGCACATGTATGATAACCGATGCAATGAAGTCCATCTGTGAAACATAGCTGATGGGGAGACCTAAAAGAATCTCAGACCATGTTATTTCTTGTAGCCAGGTCTTCCTTTCATGGTAAAGAAGAGTGAATTTAAAGTTCTAAACATGTGGTGAAGAAAATTTGCTCCATCTTCTGGACTGTAAGGTAGGCAGATGGCTGGGAATTAATGTAGTAGAACTGAAGACAACTCTTCAGATCCTAACCCTTTGTCCAGGCTCATAGAGCACTATATATTTCCTTCTGTTTCACACCAGCAACAGTTAAAAGTTTGATTTTTGTGGTTTCTGTTTGTTTGGGTTTTAAAAAATACAAAGAAACACAGCTATGAAATGCAGCCAGGCACAATGCGTGAAATATTCTGTGCCTGCTAGTGAGGAATTTTGCTTGCCATATTAAAATTAATATCACCAACACTGTTGACATTAATAAAACTCTCATAAATGTTGTTAAGTCAAGTCCTGAATTTCCAAATCAAATTCTATCAGCTCCTATGAAATATGCAACTTTTAGGGTTTTATACAGTGAATGCTGTACTCAAATCTTCCAGAAAAGAAAAAAAAAAAAAAAAAAAGCTATAAAGAAATTTTAGAGTATACTCTATTTACTCTTTTCTAAGCTTAGTAAATAGATTTTTAACCTCTCTCTTCTGTTAAGTTTTGTGTACTACATGGTAGTACAACTGCAGTACATTTTGTGTACTACAAGATTTTAAGCAAATATAATAACTCCAGCTTTGTGTCATTGCTAATAAGGTAAACCTTTTTAGACAGAGAACAATTATTTTTCTCCTGCTACTCAGCTGCAGAGATGATGAAGGAATTCCTATATTCTAGTGCTTGTTTTTAGACATAACTTATGTTCAACAAGATAGTGGGTTTTATTTTGGGGAAGGTGTACTTTTTTTTTTTTTTTACAGTTCTAGTAAGTTCTGTCTTGCAGATTGACAGGTTCCAACCCAAATGTGCAACAAATACTTTCTTGAAATGGTGTTTAAAGGATCAGTACCAGCCGTTTACAGGCTCAAACATATAGTTACAGAAGATCCACACCACTTTATGCAAACAATTCCATGTCTGTGGGCACAGGCAATAATGGTTTTAGGAAAAAGAAAAACCTTTATGTAATAGTTTTTTACTGCATTTCAAATTATATGGGAAAGCTTGAAGAAATTTGTATTAGTAAGTAAGTGGTGAACTTTCCATTTGTATAATCCTTCCTAAAATTTACTTTGGTACTGATATTTGCCTGATGACATTGAAACTCACTAAATTATTCAATTTGTTATCTCTGAGGGTCATTTAAAAACACAGAATGTAATCTTCATTTTGAACTGATGTATCAAAGCCTGTGCAAGACTCAAATGAACTCTGGTCCTACACTTTCACTCGGAAACAATCAAGCAAGCTTGAACCCTGGGGCCAGGGAGAGGTATATCTCCAATATCCTTCTGCCTATCCAGTGAAAAACAGTGAGGCAGTAACTGTAATAAGTTACAATAGAGAAATTCTTTTCAATTATAGATCTGAAGACAAAGAAAAAAAACCTAGAATCTTAAGCAAAAACTACTCTGCATTTTTGGTGAGACTCTGCTTCTCTTCAGTCATTTGGAGCTGTTAGTCTACAAGATTTTTCAGCTATTTAGCAAATTGCAAAATAGATATGCTACTTTACATGGGATAACAAATCCCTAACCCAATGAGTGAATAGAATGAAAAATGCCTATAACTTTTTTTCCTCCCGCAAATGTAAGACCTTTCCACAGTTATAGTAAATGTTATTTATAGGTATGCTATGCTGTTACTTGAAGGTACGATGTGCTTTTATCAGTAGGACTACAAGAATTTTTACCATAATATCCTGTACAAAGCATGCCTTATCCTTAGGCATTTGTTGCTCAGTTGTTGTTGTGGTATTTGTTTGTTCTTGAAGTCCAGTACATTAGGATTTTCCTCCAGTAAGCATCAGAAATGTAAACATTTCACTTTTGATGGTCCAGAAAAAAAATTCTGTCACAATTGAAAGCAATGATTACTGTACGTATATGTGAACTCTATGTATATTCACAACTGGATTTCTTCTACTCTCTTTTATGGAAAAATCTTTTGTCTTACCTTGTCCAGACAGACTATCTTGGTCAACTTCCTTGAAAGATGGTCCTGTTATATCTGCAGCTTCAGTTTTCTCTTGCAGGAGACTAGGAGCGATAAAGCTACTTGTAGTATAAACTGCCAGTGTGGTAGCCTGTTCCACTGGAGACTCATAGCCATCGGTAATAAAGTCACTGCTAGCAGAATCATCTGCTGGAGGAGGCAAATAGGAATTCCCTGGTTTTGGAGGACTACTAGTGCTACTCAGAGCACTGAAAGGCACTGTGAAACTTTGGTGGACAGCAGAGATATCTTCAGCGTCTGGAGCAGATTTCTCCTGAAATGGTTCTCTGGAAGGTTTGGTAGGGAACACAGGTTCAGATGAAACAAAATTATTGAAGTCTTCAGGGTCACTTATGTCTCCACTTTGCACAGGGATTCCAGTTGTAAATTCGTTGAACAGGATGTCTCCTGTTCGGTCCACTGTTGCTGGGCTGGGGTAGCCCAGTGGGAGTTCCACACTCATGGAGTCCTCCTGAAAAGGTTTATAAAAAGCAGCTTTCATTATCATATTTCGCTTCCATTGCTAAAAACATTGACAATCTTTAGCCACAGAAGCTTGCAAACAGCTAACTCAGCATGAAGTCATGGGATGTCTGAAATGTTTGGCATGCAATCCTAAACACATTTCCTGCAATTTAAAAAATGGTCAGAGAAAGATGACATTCACTATCCCTGTCAATTGCTGTCCTTCTGTCATTGAAATATACTACTGAACTAGTGAGACACTATTAACTTGGTAATTAAAACAGGAAAAGCTAATCAAACAGTAATATTCACCCGTAAACACTCTAAACTCCATTGCAGTATAGCAAGACAACATTTATCTTTACAACATTTATAAAAGGCGGATATGTATTTTAGTATAAGATCCTTTTTCTGTACATTTCTGTACATTTTAACACTGTTTCATTTCATTACTCATGGAGAAAGAAATAAATATAACAACCAGTATTAACTTACCAAATCAGGGCCTGCCAGAGGAACAGTGACCATGGCCTGGATATCATTATCAAAATCACTAGATGGTACAATAGATTCTGGAAAAAAAAAATAATTAAATAGAGTTGCACAATATTTCAGCAGTAGCACCCTGAAAACTGATCAAAACAAACTCAGTAAAAACAGTATTAAAACAATACTCCACAAAAAAATTATTTTTAAAAATCCACACAAAGAAAAAAAAGTCACAGATTTTCATTAAAGATGGAAATTATGAGGAAACCAGGATTTTTATATACAGTATTCTTTGTGCTCCCTTATCTAGAATAAATGGGATAGATGAACCACGGATGAATGCTTAAAATCAGCTAAAGAGTGAAGCTCTTGGTTAAATCCACTTGGGCTATGATGACTCATTATACTGCATTGCTTATTAAGCCTAAATTCTTTTCATTTTTACCCAGAATCTACACCATCGCTAAACTCAAAGTTTTGGCTTTAGTGCCTGGTGGCTTCCTTCACTCCCCCAGAGAAGCTCTTTAAACATAGCTGCATGCAAGCTGTTTTTCTAAAACTAGTTATTAAAAATAGCTAGTGAAGGAATGTTGATTAAAATAGTTATTAAAGTGTTTTATAGCCACTTTTTTTTTCCTTAGGACTTTTAATCTACATTAAAATATGAGATTTTACTATTACAGAAAGTATTAGTTCATTCAAACATATTTTTTCAAGAAGATGCTCTTTGTAAATGAAAAACTACTGTTACAATTTGGTGTGTGTCTTAAGATCTTTTTGATAAATATACATATGAAAAAATATTTTAAACTGTTTTCCCCATTTTTAAACTACTTCCTCAAAACTAGGGCTATGCTAGCTTTGAGAAAGATCATTGATTGACTAAACGGGAATATTTATTAGGTGGATTACTGCACAGGATGAAGCCCTTCAACATTCTGCTAGAGGTCTTCAGAGCCAGCTTGTCATCTACACTCCCTCTGTGTTTTGGAGAGCAAATTGCAGTTTTATAGTGTTTCACGCCAGTGATTTTAGCTTGAGATCAAATGCTCTTTCAGGTTTCTGCCTCTCTGACTTCACTGGAATGTTAGATGGCTTCCTTACAATCCAGACTTAGCTTTCAGAAAGCTAAATTAAGTTAGAGGAAGCCCTTACTTCTTATCTTATCAAGGAGACTGGGAAATTAAAATGATATTGTGAAAATATATAGTATTTCTCACCCCTCCCTTATTTTTCTTAGTGTGCAAAATATCCAGCTTTTCTAAACAAACAACCAAGAAAAACAGATCCTCCAATATGATTGGAAGTTAGGAGTATAATTATAAAGACATTTTGCTATAAAGTTTAACTTAGATCTGTGCATCCTTGGGATGCTACTCAACACGTAGGAGAATGAGATACATCAAATGAAAACAATCTGTTAGAGAGCAAAGGAGACCTTACTGAAATTACATCAGTTTGAAAGGGCAAGGTTGAGACTTGCAGCTGACACTGTCCTGCCTACTGACCATCAGTAAACTGAAGTGTTCCGAGGTCCACTGGCAGGGACTGGTCTTCATGGAGTGCTATGGCAACCAGTTGCTGGAGGTCTGTTACTGTGAGTTTAGTTGCTGATATCTCCCTCTCTTCCTTTGGAGAAAGCGGAATTTTTTCATTTTCAACCTTATTAGATCCAATAGTTGAGATGTCACCTGCTGTGCTTTTGATTTCTGAGCCATCTCTCTCAAAGTTTACCACATATCGTGCTATAGTACTGCTTGATCTGCAAGAGGAAGATGTAAAAATGCCCAGTGTAGCAAAATCAGTTACTTGCTGAGGATTGATTTTACATACATACAAACAAAAATATATGTAACCAGAACATGTTACACTCTGTAAAAATAATGCAGATATATTTCTTCCTAATGAGACACTCATCTTCAAATTACTTTTGTAATGCCTAAACCTTTATTTCTTCTATGCATAATTTTTAATTAAAATTCCAATCTTAAGGAAAATTATAAAAATGTTCTAATATAATCCAGTTTTATCTGACCACTCAGGGACCTATAGAACTCCTAAAGTAGTTTTAAGTCACAGATTATTGGTTCAAACAGTCATAAATGCATGCTGGTTTTACTAGAAGCCATAATCACCTACTAATTATGCAGGAACCTATGGAAAGGGAGTAGAGAGTTCAGAAAACTACAGATAAGCAAAAAAATCTTATCACATCTGGCTTTTTTTTTTTTTCCCCCACTTTTTTTTGAAGAACAGCAAGGAAGTTAGCTAATATGGCAAGCAAATCACTTTTCACAATGGCAATTAGTTTTCCAAGTCCAAATTAATGTATAGAGCTTCTCTCTAGAAGTCATTGTTAAATACAAGTCTCAGACTTTCACCATTATTAATGCAATTTACATAAATGCTAAATTCACCTAATTAAAATGGAAAAAAAAAAAAGTACATTGTAAAACATTTGTACTCCATTATGTTGCCTTTTATAATATCAAAAGGCTATAGTGAGGAGATTTCCACTTTATCTTAGTATGTGCTATGTATTTACATGATGTTGCAAGAATTCAGAAAAAGCATTAGCCAGTTCTTCTATTTACAAGTAAAAAATTCTGGGAGCTGCTAGACAGATTATTCCCCAGCAGCATTTTTAAGCAACAACAGACTCAGTACCTGTTTGTATTACCAGTCAAAATCTCCCTGCATTTTATCAGGCTAGTTACTGGTCCCTTTGCCATTCTAGCTAGCCTGATAATGGAGATAACAAATTAAACTTTACATACTTATTGAAGATGATGTGTATATGGGAATACAGCTAGGAAACAGCAGATCAAAAATGGAAATTTAAATATCAAGTTTCCCTATTTATTCTTTACACTTTCAGTTTATTACTCATAGAGATCTTTAGTGACCTGTACGTGAATTTTCTTACGTCAAACACTTTTCTTTTTCAGAGGGATTCTGACAAAATTCAATTGCATGAACATTTCAGATTCAGGTAAAAGTTATCCCTGCTGCTTTATATGACAGATTGTGTACTTAGGCAGAGCACAATCAACTCACTTTGTTACATCAAGATAAAAAACATTTATTGATGTATCTGTGGACATTTAAAAGTCTATAAAATGATTAATCTTAATTATCAATTACAGACAAATTACCCATCTTTCTCCTTCTTCTGTCTTCATTTCATCACATAAGGAAGGGCATGATAAAGGATTGCAAAAGAAAGGAAAAATAAATTCACGTATACTAGTAAATCAATCAGTTGTACATCAAAAACATCTTTTGACAATTTATCTTCTATGTGTCATCTACTATTTTTATCTCTGTGAAAATGACAGCCTACTTTCCATTATTTCACTCCTTGGCTTCCAAACAACAGGAAGCTTGATGTTCCAAGCGGAGAAATGGGAATTTTGCTTTACCTTGATAGTTTGAAATATCTACTTTCATATTTCCCACTATAAATGGTGCAATTTGAGCACTGCCATTGTTAGTCTCTGTATTTATGGTGGCGATGAACACCTGTGACAATAGTAGCAACTATTACTGTTACCGCACGTGGTGCCTACTCAGCCCCTAGTTACAGGGGTAACTTGACCTTATAGTTACCTCTGGAAGACATGTCAATGTTGACTTTACATTATATAATGCCATTATTGTCCATGATGAATTCTCTAGCATATCTCTAATGTTGTCCTTCCATATTGTCTTGGAGGAAATGCTGCTAATGTATGTAGTAATATGGCTAAGGGAAAAAGGACGCTATCAACTACCCGTCTTTGCTGATCTGAAACTCTCAGGAACTAACTGAATTACTAGATTATGGGAAGCAATCCTGGTCTTCACGATGATCAATATACTTTCATATCAGCTCCTAATGCAAGATACTAAACAGGAATGGATCTTGGATCTCCTGAACTCACTTGAAGTGGTGAGGCATTGGAACATGTTGGCCAAAAACTGGTAAATGCTCCATCCCTGGCAGTGTTCAAGGCCAGGTTGGACAGAGCCTTGGGTGACGTGGTCTAGTATGAAGTGTGCCTTCCCATGACAGGGGAGTTGGAACTAGATGATCTTAAGGTCCTTACCAACCCTAACTACTCTATGATTATGTGATTCCAGGAGGTTATTTATTGCAACTTGTAACTGTAAGTTGTTACTACAGATTTTCTCTGCTTGCTTTGCAGTAGCCAGTTTTTTGATTTGTTACTTCATAATAAAAATGTAAGCAACTATTTTTTACTCTATTTTGCTCTTCTCTGTCCTTTCCTCCAGCAATTTTGCAGAAAGAAAAGCTCAAAAGATGCATGGTCTTGTCTAAAATTGGATTGCAATATGAATGTTCTTCAACATACATTAAATATTACCAGAAGCACTGAATGTTCCTGATACAGTGCCAGAAATCCATGTGGACTTATGTCTTTTTTTCCTGCTTGTTATTTGCTTTCAATTTTTGTTATCTCTTACTATTACTAATTTGGTTTTCCCTTGATTGTTTATATAATGTGCTCTTATCTATAGAAGCATAACCATATAAAATACTCAGGTTTTGATTCCTCTCACTTTCCCTGTAGATTCTCTATTGAAAGAAATGCACGATAGCTTCTATTAGCAGTAAACATACAAGGAAGCTAAAAGTAAAAGAAATGGCAAGACAGAACACAAGTATTAAAATATGAAACCATTTTAATTGTTTGTGACACCTGAGAAACACTTATTGGAAAAGTTTTTATGTGTGTGAGCATGGATCTTCCTGCAACCTTCTCTTGCCAAAGCGCCTTCACTGAGATCTATGAAGGGCACAGGATGTGCACACAAAAAAAATAGCCACCTTAATAATCATATTCCTGACTCTTTTAATCTTGCCATTTAAGAAAGTCCTTAATACAACATTGCTAGCAAACAATTTCAAATGATTTATTATTTCACCCCTCAGGGAATCAAAACTAGTTCTACTTAGTAATTCAAACCTTCATAGCCTCACTTGGAACATGTTTGCATTTCTCTCCATATTGTCTCTGTGTTGTTTCCGGAAAACTATTTTCTGTCTATAGCAATACACCCACCACTATTCTGTAAGTCTGTCCATGCTGGAAGGATAGAAGGAAGAAGAGAATCCTAGTAGCCAATAGAAATGAGTCCCATTTTCTTACTTACTTAAATCCTAATACGTGGATTTCTTTGAATCCTGGAAGTTTCTCAAATATTTTTTGCATCTATAGAAAACAATAAAATCATTTAATACATTGCTGTTCTAGTGCCAAAAAGCAAGCACAGGTTGACTATCTAGACAATATGTCCCATATTTCAGAAAGACCTTTGGGAAGCAGTCTCAACTATTGCCCTCTTTGTGGTATCATCATTACTGAGCTCAAACACAGTATTTAATTTGTATATGCTTCCTGTATTACCTGTTAACAGGCGAAATAAAGTATGAAATACATCCTTTTTAGTAATGTAATTATGTAAATAAATGATAATCTAGTTCATAATAAAGCAAGTCAAATAAAATGAATCAAATATTTTTCTCATTTTCAGCAGTTTTGGTCCATGAATAATTTTGTGTTTCATGTCACCTTAACTGTAAATAGTTACTTAGAAATAGTAACCAAATGCAGATGGATTTAGATTATTTGTCAAATAATTTCTAAATTAAGCAGTTATAACTGTCTTGTACAAATAGAATAAATTAATATATTTTTAATTCTGATGTAAACAAATGTGCAGTTACATGATTTGAATAGAAGAGATAGTGTGAAGAATAAACAATGAGCAGAAAAGGTCAACTGAGTATACATTTAAGACAATAAATGTTTTTATCAGCACCTCAGGAATTAACAATGTTTTGAGATCCAGCAGATTCATCTTCTAGTCTTTTCTAATTGCAGCAACATTTATGCAGCTAAGTCAAATGAAACATTTTATGTAGATCTACTATGTGAGAGGAAAAGGATTTTTTTTTTTTTAAATGCACAGTTCCACAGCTCCTTTCTATTTCATTTGCTGTTCCTGTTAAGTACCAGCTAACAAACACATCATCTAAGTCTTTCATCTGGAAGCAAAGCCTGTGGATTTCAGAGAATTCAATACTTGAAAAGAAATGAAAAAGCCTTTTGAGGAATCGAGTCCTTTTAATTCAGCATATCACTTAAAAAGTGCATGAACTAACATGGTAATCTTTCCTCTTCCTTGACTATGTGATTCTGTACAAACCTAGCATACATTTAAAACTCATTCATTCATGCATAAGCATTTACTGGAACAGGCAGGGGATGGGTGGTCAAACCGACAGGTTTCTTTGCATGTCTTACTCAGTTTAAGTGAAGAAGGAGCAGAAGATCAGTGTGTTATCACAATAACGGGTATCAGCCACACTGTGTAAGCCTAGATGTGTTTTTTGTCACAGCAAACACAACAGACTATTATGGCTAGTGCAGAAAATAGCCTGCCATCTGCCCCCCCTCTCCCCCTTATCCATCTCTTACAAGAGGATAGTAGGAAAGGAACTGAGGTAAATACTTCATATTGAGCTTGTTCTGACTTAGTAAAAGTAGTGCAGAAGTAGCAACTAGACTGTGGGGAAGATCTAAAACATTACTCGCGTGACTAGTGCTCACTGAAAATAACAGAGATTAAGGGCCTCAATCACTAGGATGCAATCAATTTTCCTAAATTTAGACAAGCACCACCATTTTAGATGCCTTAAGGATGTCTTCCACTCAGTTGCTGGTTCAAAAGAGTGTAGCTCTGTCATATTTGAGAGGCCCTTGCAGATGTATTGGATAACTTGAAGCATCTTAATGGCACAAGGTATCCATGTTTAGGTAAATTAATACCCTTTTAGCCATATTCTACCAGCTGACTATTCTTGGTCACTCTTCTTGCTTCTCTTTATATCACAATGAAGTTGATACTTTTTTTTAAACTGTATGCATATATGCCCCTTCCTATTTCCTGCTCTTGCCAGATTAATCTCAATTCACTGAGTAATGTAGTGCAACTGAATCTGCATTCCATTCTCCAGGAGATTTTAAATGCATGTTGTGGTATACAGATATACTTCTGAACATTTGAACTCTAATGTCCTCTGTAACTCTTCCTTCTTGCTGTGTCCTGGAATTAACTATAAGCTGAGCTTGGAACTCCATAGCATCAAACTTCTCAAAGCCTTCTCTGGAATTTGTACAGAAGCTCATGTAGCTGGAACAAGGTTTTAATTCTGAATCTAATCTCCTCGTTCTCACCTTTTGATTGCATTTGTAAAACTGTCTTGTATCAAGACTGCCCTCTGTCTCCTCCATGCCCTATCTTTGGAGGAAAGCACATCAGGTGTATTTTGTGTTACTGGACTACAAATAATTTTCTACTCCACATTGCATGTCAAGAACTGCTTTGGATCCTTTAAAGTGACAAATAAAATTTGATGACAATGGAAAATAACTAAACAGTCAAGAAACTTAGCATTTCTCCCCCTCTAATTAATGAAGTAACTTAAAAGCCGGATTGCAGAATTATATCATTATATGCCTAGTAAACAAAATCAGCAGGCAGTTCTGTCTAAGGATAATCTGGAAATCTCCAGAGAAGCAACTTTTTATCAGCTCTGCCAAAATGTTCTTCAACATTTTCTGTGCAAATCTGAAACTGAACCAGGGTAGTTAAATAGATTACACTAAGGAATGCTCATGAAACTAACAAGAAGATGTAGTTAATTCTACTAAGAAAATCTTTTAGAAACCTCAAATCATTAACTGCTATCTGTTAAATTTATAGCTGAGCAGTCAATATTATTAATTATATGGAAACACCACAGATGTTCCAGTTCTTACAGAAACTCTGGTAATGCAGAATAAAATGACTGGAAGTCCTTTGAAGAATAGTTCAGACAACAGTAGCTAATTACTTTTAACATTTATATTACATTTCTCATTAGGTTTATTGTAGAAACTAAATTATAACAAAGTACTGTCCATGAATTTCTGATTAAGCCCAAATGATGTTCCGAAAGTTACTCTGTTCATCAGTTACCTGAGGCCGTACTGCTGACAAAGACATTGACTTGTTAGCTTAGCTGCTGAACAGATGGCCTAAATGAGGGGAAAAGCTGACTATACATGAAGGAAACTGAAGGTCTTAAGATGACAAGAATTATCTATTTCAAGTGAGAGCAGTAGACTTTAATTCTGTTTCATGGTGAAGGTAATTTCATAATATGAATCTCAGCCAAGGTACAAAGCAGCATATTGGCATTCACTCAGCCTCCTTACCTGCAGCTGAAATTTGGCAGCTAGTTGTCGGTACTGTGGGGAGTTGGGATCATTAAGTTCAGCTGTGTACTCCTGATCAGTGAGAGTGACACTGAATTCTACCATTTGCTCCACAGGCAGTTCTGGGACCGTATTCGTTCCCAGCTCCTGGAAAAGAAGGGGAGAGAAAGAAAAAGTGAGAAATGAAACTAAGTGGATTTTTTCTCCTCAGTATTTAATAAGTAGAAGTGTTACCTTTTAAACTCATCCCCAAAATAACTTAATATATAAAAATACAGCTCATCAGCTAAAGAGAATTCTGTAATGTTCTATCATATAAACAGAGAATTAGGGAATATGCATTTACTATATGACACCCTTATAGCTTTTGAGGAGCTAGCCTTTAGGGAGCTGATCACAAAGGACTAGGCCAAGAAAGAATGAGGAGACCAATAACATGGGGAAACTAGTTAATCCCAATCTCCCAGTACATCTCAAATATCATAAATAAGTGATTTTAAAACATTTTTTTCCCCTTTTATCATACCTGCTCTTTTGCTCCAAGATGTAAAACAGGTGGGTAACACACAGTTGAGAATATTAGCATTATATTGCTGTCTCAAATTATGAGGTTGTAATAATTTTGGACAGTAAAAAGAGCATTTATTTGGGATGACTTCAGTACAGTTCCTGTACCAGAGCTGAGAAGCTTGCAGAGGCAGGATGAAGAACAGTGGAGATTCACCAGGGGTGCAATGGATAAGGCTTTCTTGAGGGCTTTTCAAAATCCTTTGAGGGCATTTCTGCCCTCATACTCTTGGCAGCAGCAGCACCAAGACTTTGGGTTCACCCAAGTGAGGAGGTGATATGAGCCTCTTCCCACAGCCAGTATATACAAATGAAAAAAAAAAAACCAAACAACCCCAGAGCAACTCTTCAAGGAGCTGCTTTAGAAGGTAAAACATTTAGAAATTGAAAAAGGCTCAAAGCAAAGCAGAAAGGAAATGAAAGAAGCTGGCTCCCACCTATGGCTCCACAGCAGGGAAGTCCACCCTCATATCCTGGTGAGGCCTTGGTCTTACTCTAGAGGGAGGTTCTAGAAGGTTCCTGAAGCCACACAGCTGTGCTGAGACCAGGGCCACCTCCTTATCACCACCAGGTGCAGCAATCAGGAGAGGGAAAATAACAGCCCTTCCTATCACCCCCACCCTTGCCTTAGACATAACCTGTGGTGGTGGTTATAAATTTTTAGATGAAAGGCCAGCTCTGCTGCTGTGCTTTATGGCTCCTCTAAGAACTTCAGTGGAGGTCCCCTGTTTGATAGCTGGCTGTCTGGCTGGCAAGTAGGTCTAGTCCTACCTCCTGTCTTGTGGAAGGCTCAGAAGGTATTCCTTTTTACATTATTTAATGAAGAACAAGGTCACAAAATGGTGCAAAATAGGCAATGGGTCCCTCATTAAAAGAATGAAGACTCTGCCTAAAAGCTGTTGCTGTACTTTTATGCTTTCTACCCTGTATGCAAGAAACACCACACACTGTTTCAGTACAGAACAGGTGCTAATAAAACCCTCTAGTTCTACTAACAGTAATACAGAATAGCAGGCAGGGTTTATAAGTGCTAACCGCTTATAAGGTTTCCTCCTCTTCTAGCTGAGCTCAAAACCAAGAGGTAAGTGAAAAGTGGGATAGGAAAATGGGCGGCCCTCACCTTCACAGGAATCTTTGTGTCATTAACAATTTCATTGAGCAATGTGCCGTTAGGTGCCGTTACATATGGAGTCATGGATGTGCCAGGGACACCTGGGGGGATTTAAAATAAAATCAGGCAAGAACAGGGTTGTGCATCAAAAATCATTATCTTTTTCTGTTGGTCAGGCACCAACTCACTAAGAAGCTTTCCTTATGGAGAGTGCATTTGAGCACAAGAGTGTGCTGGTGGAAGATGGGTAAAACTGCTGTTTTTTTACAGTAAACAGCCTTTCTTTCCAGGTCAAAATACCAATGGCATTGTATGTGTGTGGCTAAAAGCAAAAATGGCACTGACAGCAATGAAATAATGTGAATTAAATTTGATAATTTCCTGTCATACTCTGTTATATGTCACCAAATGTCTAAGCTCAATTTTGCCTATTAAGATCTTTGTCTCTCTGATAGCCACCTTTCTTAAAGGCTCAATTTAAAGTAACAAGAGGCTTTGACAGAGTTTTCCAGCTAGAGACAAAATTACCATGCTGTTGCTTTCAATAAGATTCTGTCATATTTTCCTCTCCAAAAAACTACATGCAGGATGTTTTGTCCTTGAACCAAAATGCTCATATTTGCAGAGTTTTATCATTGCATAAATTTATAACATTATTTTAAAGATCTATAGTACACAACAGTTTTGGTAGGCCTATTTGGAATAATCTGCTCAACATCTCGACATCACTGTGACTTTTTGGCTTGTTTATTTTGGCTAACAGTGTGCAGCTGACACTTTAAATGTCATTTCATACCTGAAGCAAAATTAGTTCTACTCTCTACAGGTGAAACTGGGAAAATGGATGCATTTAAAGACTGAAACAAACTTGGAATGCTACATCTGAGTAGCAGACATGGTGTAAATAAAAAACGCTTCTTATAGCTTATTTTGGTAAAGCATGTCATTGTACTTTACTGTACTTGTCATGCTTCTACTGCATTCATTAAAGTACAGCCTTCTAAGACCTATGAATCATTGGTTTTAGCAATTCTATTTAATAGGCAGGCACACAGCAAGCAAATTTGATTTTACCTGTAGGAATGGAAGGAATGTCTTCTAGCTTTTTGCCACCTGTTTTCTCTGTGGATATTTCATCTTTCCTATCAATCAAATAGAAAGGAGTGATTTAAAGATCATCATGCTGTACTTGCAATGGCAAAGGTGTAAAAAAAAAAAAAAAGAAAAGAAATAACCCCTGTATTAAGTGTACTTTAAATGAGAGAATTTATTTCTAATGGAATATTTGATAAGCTCATTAAACAGGCAATGGAACTGTAGATCGTATTTTATATTTTACAGTTTATACATTTCCTTTCCTCTTCTTCAATATGATATTTGATTTTACAGTGAATAAAAATACTGATTTGATATATTCTTCCACCAAGGACTATCAATCCTGTCAGGAGTCTGCTCATGAGGTATCATGACTGATTTTCTCCAGCAATTAGAGGGATGAGGTCACAAAGATTAAATCAGTGCACAGTGCTCTTTGAAGTCTACTAATGGTTGACCACTGACTAAAACGGAATCGAGACTTCTTGTACATTGTCTAAACCAACTATTGTTTCCTTTGCTATATCTCCTTCTATTAAGACAGTTCAGTGGGGGCTCTAATTTTAAAATGAATGGACATTTCATGGTTCCAAGGGTGTTTCATATGGTTTGGTGTGAGGAGAGGATGTGTGACTTATTTTTCAGTTGTCAGCCTGCATTATAATATCATAACATTTCCAACTAATGATAGTTTCAAATCAGATTCCTGGATGAAGATTATTATGAGTTGTAGGAATGTTTATGCTTGGATCTAGATGTAATATTAATGGATTAATGCCTGCCATGGTCCCCCTGGTAGACGGCTGAAAACTCAAGAATATGGTGAGTGTTATGTACAGATTGTCTGCCTCGCATCACAGGTTTTGTTTTTGTATCGTTGATACTATTTTCTTTTGTAAGCTTTATAGTTGTGTGCTGATGAATAAATTGTGTAACTGAAAGTGTTAACTTGCCTGAAAAGCGGAAGTGGTATGTATACATAAATATATTTTATAATAGATGTGTTAAAGTTTCATACAGGTAAGCCTATAGCATAATTTCTGTTCCAAAACCAAAATTTTATTCATTTTTAGCTTTTGGAAACATTTAGAGTCTTAGGTAAGAATCTTATAACATTTTGGTATTTTTCTCTGAAATTAGGGGTTGAAGAATTTCAGCTGTTTCAGGTTCTAAGTAATGTGATAAAAACCCCACAGCATAAAAAAACCCCAAACAAACCAAAAATAAAAACAAAACCCAATCGTGGAAACAAACGAGGATAGCATTCCTCATAATTTCTATAGAAATAGCTATTGTTAAGGCAGTGCACACAGGTGGTGTGTTTGTGAACTCTAACAAGAATGAAAGAACTAAGGGCACTGCAGATATGTATTGTGGTGTTAACTGAGACAACACAAAGCTTGTAGCATAGACAGAAAAGACAGCTGGGCGGCATTTCTATACAGGACCAACCTGGCTGTATAATAACATAAAGAACATGGAAAAACTCACAATTTACCACATCCTCGAGATATCTTGTGTGGTAAGAACTAAAATATTTGCAGAGTTTTCACAATGTTAACTAATTATGTGTTATGTCTTTAACTGGAGACTGATCTCTTGACATGGCATCTACAGAAGTTACAAAATGTTTCCCAAATCACACAGTACTAAAGATAAAGTCCAACAATGCATAGTCACAGCTGCCTGTATTTCCAGCTAAAATATCAGTAATTTCATATAATTTACTTCACTTTCTGAACTGTGTTTGGGGAAAACTGTATTGAACACAAAGAGCACAAGAACTGAGATCAGTCACTTATTGTTTTGCTGCTGCTCTTTGCACCAGTCTGAGTGAAAAGACCTCCCTTTGGAGTTCTGGGGAGCTTGATTAAGCCCTACATTATAAAAAATATTTTTCTGAGAAAGGATAATGGTCAAAGCTCCCACGTTGTGATGAATAAAGATACAGAAGACCTCTGTGATCATGAGACAGTGTAATTTAGGAACGGGAAAGATTATTTGCTGCACCCGAAGATCTAAGAAAATTTGAAGGAAAAAATAATACATAAATCAGGGACTGTGGACAATGATATGTCTGATGTACGGTAGTATTTATATGCAGAGTGACAGAGTTCAGTGTTGCAACTTTAATCCAGCCATTCTCAGATTTCTGATTGTTGTCAAGAGCACTTTTTCCTTTTTACAAGAGTTTATGGAGTAGAGCGTCACGTTAATTAACACTATGCTGATGTGCAAAAATATAGGGCAAAGCTAAAGTGAAGGCATAGTGTTTTTATATTACTGCTTAATGTAATCTCCAGATAAACTTTTGTTCAAGTCTGAATTTCTTTTTCAGAATGACAGCTGTTGTGGGTAATCTTTTGTCACACTCCCAGTCAACACTAGTCTAATGCATAGCCCTTGTTCTGTCACTGTTTCATGCTCACGTTAGTCAAAGAAGACATTCTGTAGGGTCTCAAAGTGAACAGAAAACTCAGACATTTATCCACCTTCATTGTAATTCAGTCACTGTGTACTATGATACCTACAGCATACACCACAGCTCTCACAGCACACACCAACTACATTACAGTGCTATCTGTGTATCTGTTCACATTCACGCACATCTACACATATCTTTTTCAAAAAAGGCAGTAACATCAAGTGGCAAAATTCTGCTTGTGCTTACCTTTCCTGGAAGGTTCTATGTTTTACTCGCTGCAAAAAGATTAAGAAAAAACAGGATTTTACTAGTTGGTGTATCCAACCATTGAGTAGAAACCTGTTAGCTCTTTTGTTTATTGTACTTTTATGTTGTCCTTCTAATACATGCCCCCTCCTCTTCCTGAGCAATACTTTGCCTTTATATAAACAGATGGGGAGGGACTTGGAAGTCTCCCTTGTTTCTAAACAAATGTCAGTAATCCTTACCCGTTGGATTATTTCCAGGTGCTCTTGGGAGTTGCTGAAGTTTTTGCCAATGTCAAATATGCAGAAAGTTTCCCTCTGGCAGGCAGTAACCCAGTTCTGATATTCAGAAGTATCAGGAATCCGGTCCAGAAAAATACGAAAGGCTTCCCATACAGCTTCCTGGCAGACTGAGTAAGAAGAAAGGGGCTGGGAATGGATGCTTTGTACCAAAAAGTAAACTTGAAAGCCTTTTTTAAGTGATTTGGGATTTACACATTTTATTGTAGTTAGTAAAAAAAATCTAGCTTCTAGGAATTTTTAGAAATATAGGTCTTTTATACATTTCTGAGTTGACAGTCATTTAACTTTATGCTGAAGGAGTAGCCATCTTTGAATTAACAATTGTTGATTTCTCTCATTTTGAAAGATTAATTTGGCCTGATATCATCATCATGATGAATAAGGGGCAAACACAAAGCATACTTCCTTCACCTCAAAGCTACATACCTCCAAAGGTACAAATTGGATATTCTAGTAATCTAGCAGTAGTCATACTTGAATAATCAGTTTTAACTGTGTTCAAAGGTTTTGTACATTAATATGCTTAACTATGCATACTATTAGTATGCTCAACTATGTTAGAAAAAGATAAGCAGAACATTTAAAATTTTCACAGATAAAATTTAATGGAAAAATATATTTTAAATGTTGCTTGCTAAAATGATTTCATTATATCCCAGAATTTAAAAGTAATTCATTGTTTTAGAATCTTAAGGATGTTCTACAGCAGGTACATACTTTTATGTTTCTTTAAACACCTGTGGAAAAAATGGATTACTTAATATCAGGAAAATTCCTTTGAAAAGAAAGAACATGTTTTCCTCCCTCTTTACACTACTGTACGCAGTCATTTGTTCAATGTTAGATATTTCCTCCATGGTGATGAATCACTCAGTGAAATGCCAGGCTACATCAGACAAGGTTAACATGTACTTTGGCTGCAGAGAGAACAGTAATGTTCTGCATCATTTGGGGAAATGAGAATGAACATAGAGAGTAAGACAGATGGGAAGACTTTGAAAAGGTGATATTCAGGAATGGCTTTAAGGGAGCTTATTTTATTGGATGCAAACTAAATTAATTACACGAGATTATGTGAAACACAATATAATATTGGAGACTCTTACATATTCAATTGTCTCACTTCTTATGCAAGAAAGCTGTGAAGTTCAGCTGTGTATGTTCGAAAATATATTAGAATACCTATTTCAGCTTGACACCCAGTTATTTGATCTATTTTTCTAGCAGTCGGAACTCTGTCAAGCATTTAAGGGAAAACTTGCAAAAGATAAGTT